TTACTTTTGTTTGGCCGTTGTGATACTTTAGTTTGGTTTGAAACACTCGATCGGAAAACGTTCTATTGATGCATTGACACTCACTCAAGTCCCACCGCAAATTTTCACTGTCGTATCACGCGGCGGTTAAAAAACCGCCTCCCGGTTAGCTCAATGGATAGAGCGCTGGACTGTTGTGCGGGAGGTCGAGGGTTCGAGCCCCGGCCGGACTAACACTCAGGGTCTTAAAATAATTGAGAAGAATATGCCACCTTTCTACAACATCAAGAAATGGTTAGATATTCTAGTCTACTCGGATAAGGTCGAATAAATGGGTTAGGGATAGGAGACGTTAATTTCCCACGCACGATATTACTGTGTGATGGATGTCCTCCCCTGGGGTGGGATGGGTGGGTATTTCTTGCTAAGTATCATCGCATAGATGGAGAGCAAGTATTAGGAAAATAAATAAAATAAAGTAATTAACTATCGCTCGATAAGGAGACTGGAAAACTCTTGGGGCTAGGCTGCATTATCGTCAGATAGGCTAACCAGTTAAAGGTGGTTTCCAAATCAGAAAAATAGTCGCTGCAAATTGATACATCATAATATTTCAAGTTTTTAATTATATGATAAGAAAATAACGAACCGGTGAATGCTGAATTTTAATTCTACTCAATTTGTTTAGTGGCATAAATGACCTAGAGGTAAATCCCACAAATTCCCCCTTAAGTAATCAAGCCTTGCACGAGCTCTAAGAACATTTAATTAAAGTTTTGACAGCTCGCCGGAACTCTTTCCGATAAAAACAATAAATTAGGGGATTCGTGGATGATTGCAGTAAAAGAAAAGTTATTGAAATTTTTCGAAGGATTGGGGTTACCAATTCTGGACGGTTGAATAAATAAAAAGAGTAATAAACTGTTCTGGGTAACCAACAGACTACAAAAAAAACCACAACTAAAACGCACGAAAGGGTGCCTTTTCGTAGCTGGAGGTACTGCATTCGATTTTGCTTTTTCCGCCAGAATCCACAATTGGTACCGTTGAACGCGGTTACCTTACGTCTTTGTTTTTTAATAGCGATGAAAATTGTTGCGTTTATAACGGACACGATTATTATCGGAAGTATGACAAAAACGAACAATAAAATGTATGAATAAGTTCTGTTGAGCTCCTCCACAACATTCTCCGGCCGAGTATGGGACCAAATGTTTCTGGGAGAAGCGAGGCACAGAGGAGTGAGCCAGACAACCGATAAAATCACATGGATTTTTCTTCGCGACATTTTGGCCTGGTATTTGAGTGGCTGAAAGATGGCCAGTTGTCTGTCGTAAGAGATGGCAAGCAAGTTAAAAGTCGACGTGAGGAGGCAAACGTCTTTGCCACCTTCGAAAAACCAACAAAACGCGCTCAAGTTGTATAAGCAACCAGTGCAAAAGGTAGCATAACCAGGCGTTACTATCACAGCCATTGCAGCGTCGCAAATGGCCAAGCTCAGCAGAAGTAGATTCATGTAGCTCCGTCTGAGGGTTTCGAACCGCAGAAACGTTGCACAAGTGAGGGAATTTCCCAGAAGGATAAGAACACCAAGCACACCGTTTATGATCCAGAAAGCGAAGTCAAGCTCTTTGCTACAGTCTTCATTAGGGTTGAGTTCAGCTCTGGGTGGCTTAAAAGCTGAATTATTTGAATACGTCTGGGACATCGCCATTTTTGTAATAGGAAATATTAAAAAAAAAAAAAATTAAATGTGTCTCTGTCAGCAGGTCAGAAGCAACTAAATGGGAAAAGAACGTTTCATCTCATTTAACCAACTAAGAAAGCACAAAACTTAATGCAGCGGATACGCATGAATAGTTCAAGCACTTATCAGCTTCAATCAGCTTTTCCGGTAGTTATTTTCAGGCACGTTTAGGGCTAAAATTGTAAATAGCAGCCACACAAGGTGGTAGAACAAATTAAATGTTGACGTCATTCGCAAAAGCTGTGAGAGCTGTTACAGATGTCAAACAAAGCGGGAGCAATAATATGTGACTTGACAACCGAAGTTTTTCATTTTGAAACTTCCGCTGCAACACAAAACATGCATCATAAAAAATAATTTGTTTGCAAAAGCGCTTTGACTCGTTGAAAAGACCACGAATTTGGAATCGTATTAAACAAGTTTAAGCACGCGCGAGTCTCGTCATCACTGATCGTAAATGGTTCCGCTAGGAGAAGAAAAACGTGATAAAAACAAGATATACAAGTTCTAATTCGCGCTTTAAGGTTCAGGGAAGCTCACGGACCGCTACTCGTTTCGATAACGTTAACAGGCAGGTGTCATCTCTTTCCCGTTATCCATTACATTCGGTTACATCCTGACAGAACTTCTCAGTTCGCTGCCAACCTGCCTTTAATTAAAATTTCTCTCTGTTTTTAGTGACCGTACTGGCCAAAAATTCGGGCTCAGGGCTACTTATTTCGCATGTGCATCACAGTTAGCAGACATCATTAAATTTTTTGCACCAAATTTGGAGTGTTAATAGCGGAAAGAATACCAAATTATTGGAGTACTTCGTCTAGCTTCAGAGTTAAACAATGTATCAATAAACTTCATCGCGGTGGAACGGTTACTGGGAGACCAAATTCTCAAATCAATTGTCCAGAGAATGAACGAAACAATATCAGAAACTTGAAGAGAGAGAATGGTTTATTCGATACCTTAATAACAGCATGGACTGAATTGCTAAGGTCTACAATGTATAGAAGGAGAAATTTTTATAAATATAGTTACAAAATTACTTGCATGCTTACAATAAGAATCCTACGACTACGACTACGAATATAAAATTTTAGAATTAGCGCAGCTGAATTGCTAAAAAAGAACGTTAACTGCACATTTGTTAATAAAAGTGTCACGACACCTATTGGTCTTACATGGCTTTACACGGTATGGTCTAGCAAGACGGTATGGTCTTGGCACGAAATAAAGTTATGAAAACGTTTCTTCGTAACTGAGGTCTTTTAAATCGCTTTGCGTAAATTAGCTCTTTGGTTTAATTGCCACTACTAAGCTGGCTCCATCCATCTGCACAAAAGTTAATAGTTCACCAGTGCCCCCATCTCCTACTAGTTAATGACTTACGGGTATTGTTCCAAGACCTAGTATTACAGCTACTGAAAATCGCTATTAAAGAAGGCTTATATGAGTGCTCAAAAAGTTCATTAACGGATTTATAAGCAAATACTGCACGATGCTCTGCTGTGCGGCGGCTAAGGGTTTTCCAAACCAGTCTCGCAGGCGCATCGCTTGCAGAGGCACAAAGAGAAGATCCACAGTAATTCGCCCAGCTTTGTTATGCGCGCATCATTTTTAAGCCTACCATTAAAGTCGAAGTACTTCCATCTCCCCATATTACATCACCATAATCAAAAAGAGGAAGAAAATAGCTGTTGAAGAAAAGTCTAGCGCGTTGAGGCAGGCAGAATTTAATGCGGCGTAACAGACCTAGTTTCCTATTTATTTTGCGTCGCAATTACTCCAAGTGAAGGTGGAGTAATCAAGGGTAGGAACCTTAAGGCGATTCCTCAGAAATAAAAGTTATCGAATTTTTTTTTTTTTTTTAATTTTCCTTAAATGTCCTCTACCAAAGTCTGTTTCCCGGAAAAATACAATATAAAAGATAGGTCACCGTGCCTGTTCAAGAAATATGATGGGCCCAACGTACCCTATTTATGCTGGCACTAATCGCGCGCGTCATTTTATGACTTCAAGGTACTTTTTGCGGTTACTGGAAGCAAGGGTTTTTTAAGTGATACTTGAACAAAACTTGATAGTCTCGAGAGTATGGAACAGTTTGAAATATAATTTGTGGGAAAATTACGCAATTTTAAACGACATCGACTCAGAACTTTCATCGAGTTGTTGCTTTCAAGGTCACAACTTGCATCCTCTAGTATCGCACTTCGTGCACGCTTTAAGCTTAATCTTTTTTTCCCTTCGATAGTTTTTTTCTTTAATTTCTCCGATTTAAAGGGGAGAATTTGTTCACCAAATTTATACATTAAAAAATATAGGTCACCTTGCTTGTTCACGAGCTTCAAGACTATTGTACCTAGTTTTACCATTGATTGAAAACTTTTGAGTTAGATAGGGCGATACAAAAGACCTGAGAGATTAGGGAAGGCTTCATTAAATTAAACTTAATTATACTCGAGGTTGTACTCAGTAATAGGTCCGACTGAACGATATTCAAATAAGCTGAGCTTGTCAGTTATGAAAAAAGGTAGAGCAACTCGCGTTTTCACTTGAACTTATTTCTTTATTTTCGTGAATCCCAAAACCCTACCGTTCTGAGAAAATTCAGGTCAGTAAGGCAAAAAAACCGTTCGCTGGCTTGCACGTATATTTCGGGAAAGTTGTCATACATCAAGCCGCGATTGAGTTGTAAACTCTAGAAAATTTCTTTTGTCCTCTGCTAATACCTTATCTTCTATCAGTTCGCTCGCTTACAGAGATAATCGTAACTGCCAGGCACTGATTTATCTTACCAGTTGTTAAGAGGGACACGATTTTTACGGGCTTCTATTACCGATTACGAACTACATGCGCAAACTATTTACTGAATAGTACAGCCTTTTCGCACGTACGATCTGATAAACTAAAAGACAAAAACTGTTGTAATACTGAATTTCTGTATAAACACCTTAAAAGATTTGTACAATCAGCCTTTTCAACCGAAGAGCCGCTTAGCGGAAGTCGTTACTATAGAAAGAATATATCGCTGATGTATACTGATGTAATTTCTGTATACATTTGTACAATCAACGCTGCCTTAAATATACACACCTTAAATGATTTGATCAATCAACGCTGCCTTTTGATCAGCCGACGGGCCGCTTGGCGGAAGTCGTTTCTGTAGAAAGAATAAATCGCAGGATTCACTGAAGATTGAAAGAAGAGAAAAAAACAAAGATAGCTTCACAATTAAAGGACTCGCTAAATCTAGTCGACCAAAAAGGTTGCAAAAATTCAGGAACTGCCTTGGAAGCCATGAAATAATAAATATCAAAACAACTAAAACACACGACATTGTGCCCCTTTTTCGACGATATGCGTTCCTCCTGTTTTGCTCAATGATAGTTATGCTACTCGTTAAGTCTTGGTTAAGCCCCGAAGTTGGCGCAGGGTCGGTATGAGAGAGCGACATACACTCAATATAATCATGTCTACATGGATTCGTCTTCCATGACTCTTTATTGTTCTCATAATCTTCAGGTTAACAATGAACAAAACAGGAACCGGTAAGAATCCAAACAGGGTGGAGAGGAGAGCGTTGTAAATCACCTCGGCATCTTTAGCTGCTTGCGAGTTCCATGAATGTTGCCAAATGCTTATTACAGACGAAACAACAAGGGGGTAGCCCAAATGGCAACAAGAATTGAGAAAACCTTGCGTTTTGTCATTGTCGCTGAGTATTGCAGAGGTCGAAGAACAGCCAAGTATCTATCGTAAGTGGTGGCCAAAAGGTTAAGGACTGTTGCTGGAAAAGCAATATCTCTGAAACCTCCAAATAACCAACAATATTCGCTCCATTTGTATTACGTAAGTGCAACCGCTGCAAAAGGCAGCAAATCCGGGAACAACTATAAGCCCCACTGAAATGTCAGCGACAGCCAAACTTATGAGATAGATGTTCATGTAATTCTGTCTTAAATGAGATCTGGATAGGAATACAACACACGTGAAAGTATTTCCAACGAAGATGACCACTCCGATAATACCGTTCGCGATCCAAAAAATCAGGTCGAGCTGAAAGCTGCAAAAACGATTATTCTCAGACATATTTCGTGTCCGCATCGTCTCGCTCGGGGTCGGCGAAGTAGATAAGTTTGCCTGCAGTGCCAAGTCGAGATCGCGAAAATGCGAGAGATCCATCTCAATGAAAAGAGAGTTGTAGTCTCCACGGGAAATATTTTGCCTCGAAAGAAAGAAATTTTTGAAAGAGAATCAATAGATATATCTTATTAACCAAGCGCGAGGGCTGTACTGGGAGAATATCGGCTCGAGGTCTTGACAGTACGGACCGAGCGCAGCGAGGTCCGTATAAAAAAGACCGAGGGCCGATATTCTTCCAGTACGGTCCCGAGCAAGCTTGGTTAATAAGAGATTTATTACACGACTGAAGTTCAAAGGGACACAAGTGGGGTATCATTCGGGACCATTCGGGACAGTGCCCGGTCCAATACTGAGAGAATATTGACCGGCAATAGAGCATTTTGATTGGTTGATTTAGTTATTGGCCCTCTGACTTCCCGAGTCGTGTAATAAAACTTGCTTATTTAACATAGTGTTGTCTACGTATGATGCACGATCCTTCGCAGTAGATAGCGCTATTTATGCAATAGTGAAAATCAGACCTGAAAAAAATCAGGCCTGTACGGGATTCGAACCACTGACCTCTGCGATACTAGTGCAGCGCTCTACCAATTGAGCTAACAAGCCAACTGGGAGCAGGCCGTTAAGTTGATTCGTAATAAACCCGTGATGATAAATCAGATACAATGAATATATAGTGTTGTCTCTTCACATTATTCTCTGCATGCCCTTTAACTTGAATCATTTATGCCAAGTACTCATCATGCTTTTGTCTTGAGTTTTGTTTTGAGTTTTAATCTACAAAAGAGTCAGCGTCAAGGGTTAAAATCTCGAAAGAAAATTCATTAAGTGTGTGATAACCTGTGAGCAGCTGCACCAGTTTTCGGCATGGAGGGCTCAGGTGTTAATTGACTTTTTTTCCCTGTATGCATTTTTAAAGCGTGTCCTAGACAGCTCCATTCAGCGTGCTCGGCTTTTAACGCTAGCTGAATTTTGAATAAATAGCCTCATGAACCTGCCAAATCATGTTTTCAACGCCCTGTGCCTAAATAGCTGAGTTTCGAGTATAAATTGGAAATTTATTTAAAGTTCCCCTCAGAAAATTACGATCAATTCTGATTTAAATTCTGATTCGTATTTATTCAAAGAAAAGATGATTGCTTTCTGCGAATTGGAAGCCAGAAAATATATTAGATAAAACTCATTTCGAAGAAAAGGATTTAGGAGATTTTACTTCTAAGAGTACTGTTGTTTTAAACTTAGCTACGACGAAAAACTTAAACTGAATGCTAAATCAATCAGGGATTTTTTTTTCAGAACGAGATTTGGAAGAAACTATATACACGTTCTCACAAAACACTGTGGTGTATAAATTATCGTAAATGTTGTAACGGAGATCTGTACAAAAATCTCTGATTGAATAAACGTGATGTTCGAGTGCATTTCAACTAAAGAACTGAACAAATAGATACTGGTCGTGTCATATTTACTTGATTACAAGATAGTTTGAAGATATATTCTTCAGTTTGCATTTATCATTCCCAAGAGACAAAAAAATTACTAAGAAAAAACTTACCAGAAACGTTTGGAAGCTGTCTTCCTTATCTACATTTTTTCCAACGCGTTTTGAACATATATATGATGTGGGCTAGCTTTGGAATATTTGGTAACAGTTAAATACGTTTTATTGACTATTTACTCTTGCTTTTCTTCGATTGAACAAATTTTGAACAAAGAGGTAGGGAAAAAAACCAACCCTTTAGATCTTTTTTGACATTGGGCACCGACTAAAAAAATTTTGAACGTGGAATCTTCACCAGTTCTTATGGAAGCTTAAGGGGCATTCACATATAAAGATTTGTTTAAGTCGCCTGGTGCTTAAACATATGTTCAACTGATATTTGAAACACGACTCTGATGAACCATTCAACAACTAGTTTTGATAAGAATTCTTTAGTTAAATAAGAAACATCTAGAAATCTATGTAATACGATAAAGTTTGAAGACAGGGAATGCATGATAGCAGAGGTGATAGCAGGCTTCGTCGAAAAGGTGACTTTCACTAGACTTCCACAGCTGCAAGAACACAGTCGCGACCATTTTTCGGTATATTGAAAGAAATTAATTATTTTTTTGGAATTTGTGGTAGATAATAAAACAGTCATTCATCTGAGTGTCATTGAAAATAGTGGATATTTACCTCGCCGCTTCGCGGCTTCGTAAATATCCACCACTATTCACCCGGCCACTTCAGTGAATAATTGTTAATTATATTACAATGATATTTCATTTTAATGAACTATCAAACTTACTGAATTGTCAGCTTTCCATTCACAGATATTGCGTTTTTTTAATCGTACTTTTACTGATGCCTTGCATACTCAGTAATATTGATTACAACTGGTAGGCTAATAAAAACCCGAGGAATGACTCAAATCGAAGACGTAAGAAATTTTGGAACCCTTGAAATGTAATGTTGTCGTTAAACCGTAAACGAAAAGGGTTGGTGATAATATTAAATTTTTTGGGTCTGTATAAAATTATCAATATAAGGTAACGAATGTTCGTAACAGATATCATTTCTATATTTTACTTGTCTCTGTAAGTCCCTAATCACCAGCATGTGCACTTTTCAATCATAGAGGTTACCTGCCAGTCAGACGTCAATCAAACGCATACGAAAAGGAAATATTGATATGATATTTCCCATACACAATACACCTACTTTTAAGAAAAAAGTTAAAACTTTTTCCGACGTATAATCCTCAAGCTGAGCTGCCCTTTTTTTAAAATTATACCGGTAATTTCATTGTCAGATGTCTTTAATGATACACGAAAGACATAATTTCGGGAAAGAAATACTTTTCGATAAACTGAATCTCATAATCGAAAAAAAACGCTTTTCCGTGTTAGTTCTCAGTTACAGGTTTTCTAACTTTTATCAGTTGGGGTTGTGAAGAAGGGAAACTTTCAAATTAGCCGAGCTTTTATTCCTAAAGAAATCGGTACAGTCTTTATAACTTTGATGACACTTAGTTCCTTCAAGAACAAAGACACTCGTCATCTGAACAGAATTATGAAAAGGATTCATAAACCTGTCCAGGTAATGGAGATTGCTATTATTGTGCATTTGTCAAAAACTAGGATTCGTTAAAAGCGACCTCCCTTCATACAGTCGAACATGTCGGTAACACTAAAGTAAGCTTTAACTGTTACGTAAATGGAAATGATACAGCGTGGGATATAACAGGCGAAACGTAGCAACCCTCCGGGACAATTTACTATTAAATTACCGATCGACAACTCTACTTTCTGGAGTCTTTCATCAGGCTCCAGCAATCTTCGCTCAAAGAATACCATAGCTGGTAGAAGATCAGTGACAACTGTTTGACGAATCACTATGATGTTTACGAACAATTCACGACAGCCGATGACGAATAAAACCGCAAATCCTTCATCTTGCGATCAGACGTTAGAAAAGGCATTCATAATCCTTAACTCCGGTACAGGTGCAATAGTTCTTTTCGGTAATGCGGTAGTGTTTTTAACGATAGTATCTACATCGCGTCTTCAACAACAGAAGGTGAACTTGTTTCTTGCGTCTTTGGCCGTCACAGACATGACCATGGGCGCATTTGTGGCACCTGGTTATGCAACATTTTGCCTAGGTTGTAGGGGGTACACAGTTAGGAATTACTGTTGGCTTCTTGAATTCCGGAAAGACGTTATTCTCTGCTCGAGTATTACCAATCTATTTGCCATTTCCTTCGATCGCTACTTAGCAGTCTTTCGACCTCTTCAATACGAGGACGTTATGACCAGACGTCGATGTGTGAAGATAATAATCGCGGTGTGGAGCATCTCAATCAGCATTGCTGTCGTGCGCATCATTCTTAATCTTACAATAACTGGCTCCGAAATAACTACAGTCAGCGGGATATATAACAGCATTCTCATGGCAGTTGTCCTTGTCATCCCATCCACACTGGTTTCGATTATTAACATCAGAATCATGATAGCGATCAGAGATCAAGATCGACAAGTGGCTGCACTGCGAAACCCACATGATGTAAGTCAAGCTGAAAACCTTGAAGAAATTCGCGCGGAAGCGTACCGAAAACGAAAAGGGACCATTGCTTGCGCCCTCGTGGTTATAATATTTGTGGTGTCGTGGATTCCACGGATATCATTAAACATTCAGTACCTGGTCAGCGGAGACACCGACGAAATTGACGCACTGCTGCAAAAGCTGTCGATGTTTTTCTTTCTGATGCAGTCTTCAGTAAATCCTTTCATATACTCGTTTTACAGAGTTGACTTCCGACAAGCCGTCATCAGATTACTGAGACTCGGTACTTGAGGTATAGAGCACGTTCACGTTCCTTGTGGTAATCTTCACTACAGATCATGCACACTGCCGCCAAGGAGCGACAAAAAGCAGTTGAATTTGCAAGGTCAGCAAGCATGCAAAAGTATCAATATGAAGAGTTTTCATGGTCGTCCTTTTGGATTTCTATAAGAATCAGAAAATCTCAGAAGAGAGCTTGAAAACTTACCTCAGTGCTGAGACAGTTTAGATTTCCACGCGTTTCGAAACTCTTTCATACAGTTCCTAAAACTGACTAACTCAACATACCATGGCTCGACACGTATGACGTCACACTTCGTTGCCCTGGCGACCAAGTGCGGCCAATTCACACTCAGAGGAAATGAAAAAAAGCTCTTGTAAAACTTGAGGGGTGAAATACAAGCGTCCACCATTCGAAGTCCGACTAGGTCATGATTTTGTAACATACGGCAGGTGTCAGCAGTCCTGAAACATTCAAGAGGCCGAACTTTGGTGGGCAACCATCGTGACATAGTCATTAAGTGACTGCCTCTTAAGTTGCCATGACAACTCTCAAGTCCAGTTGAGCTTCTTTCAGAACAATAGCGATGTGAGAATTGAAAATCTTCTCCGGGCTGTCCTGTAACATGAGAGTCATAGCTTGTTATTCTCTAGAAACAGCAGTATCAACCAGTTTTCAATAGTTATATGTATGTCATACGACCCGCGTATTGACTTAGTATTTCCATCACTGTTGAATAGAGAGTACTATAATTACACACGTCGGTGATTCGGTGATACATATACGTAACTGACACAAGAATCACTGAAAGGGTGAGAGAGAGCAGAGAGACAGAGAGAGAGAGAGAGAGAGAGAGAGAGAGAGAGAGAGAGAGAGAGGGAGAGAGAGAGAGAGAGGGAGAGAGAGAGAGAGAGAGAGAGAGAGTGCCTTCGGTTTCGTTGATTGAATGTATGATTGGATGTGTCGCTCACTGAGTGCCGAGTCAACGAGTAGCTTGTTGGATTCGTCTGATTAATTGAATGGGTGACGTAAATGGGTTTTCTTAATTAGTGAAGGGCTGAAAGACTTCTTGACTTTCTAAATGAAAGATAACAAAACAGAACAATATATTTTCCAATGAAATGGTTACTACTGAGGGTAAAATTGTTTGATCGCTGGCTGATAGTTTTTTTTCTTTCTTTTTGATGACGTGGTTAAGTGATGAGTGGGTGGATGACTCAAGAATCTGACTTAAAGTAAATGACTGTGAGTCAGTTTAGTTAACATTCAGTGATGTTGTGAAAACTTAGAGAAAATTAAGCGAGTAGAGAAGTTTGGAGAGAAAAATAGACTTAGTTCGGCATGATGCGATATGCAAATGTACAGGTATCTCCCCACATGGGAAAATGAAATAGCACTTCCAAGTCGGATGTGGTCATTGTTCATTCTGTCAAGAAGAACAAATAATTTTCACTTGCTGTCATGCACATGTGTCTCCGTTTTGAATTTTTTTTTTAAATTAAGTTGATGAAAGTGAAAATAGAAACTATGCCAAGAGGTCCAATTGTGATAGTTTTTTTTTTATTATTTACTATTCCATTAAGAACAAAAGGGCGCTACAGTTGCGGCAAACGGAACCCCGACACATGAGCGAAGCTTCCGACATTGTTTAACTTCCTTTTAAGTTTCTTGTCTCAGCGGAGGTCGGAAAATTTCAATCTCGTCACTATCCGTGACATTTCATCGTATTGGCTGACTTCAATCAAAGAACAGCTTGAGCTGCGAATGGTGAACACGGCATCGCACTAATTTAACCCGCATTTATGTTCCTTTTCGCGGAACCGCCTACGCAAACTGCAAAGACTAGACGTATGCTCTACGGTGTCCATTTCATTTAATTGTTAAAACAGGCGCAGATGAGCTGTCCTTTGACAGCAACTCGTAAAACACAACAAGAATTGAATAAATAACTTAAATATATGAAGGCGAGCGAAATTTTTCAAAAGAATATCTGTATCCCTTGAGAGCAAGTCTTCGTTAACGCCTTCGTAAGTTGCTGGACAGAGTATCCTGAATGAGGGAGAACTACTGCTTGTTTTACGAGCTGTATCAGAAAATGTAGTGGTATAAAACAAACTCTTAAGTGATTAAAAACTTTAAATGATTTTTTTCTCAATATTTAACCAGCCGCGAAGTTAAAAAAGTGCATTCAAAACAACAGTGTTCCGCTAACGGAAATAGCAACTTTATGATCTAAACAACCGCTATAGTTCAAATGATGGACAAAGAGAGAAGATTGTCTCTGCTGTTTACGGTATAACTTTATATTTCACAGTTATCTGTGAATGTAAATGTTTTCAACTTTTGAAGAAGCTTTTGCCGCTAACTGTCGATATAGACATTTTAAAAAGTCACGCACAAGTTCTGAGCCTAGTGAAATTTAATGCAATCTAATCCTAAAAAAAATCTATGGTAGTAAGAGTTTATAATTCATGTAGTTTAAATTCCGTGGGTTGTTCGTTTAAATGTGGCTCAACCTTCGATTCTTGGGTGTTGAAGCGCTTTCTAGGTCGATTAATATCTTCAGAACTTTTTGATCGTAATGAAGTTACCTGTCGCAGTAAATCTTTTGCGCCTCGGCGGAAGTCGTTTCTGTAAAACGAGTACAAGAAAGGATTGACGGACGATTGCAGAAAAATGAAAACTAAAGATATCTTTTCAAGAAGGCGAAGGCCTTTTTCGGGAAGAATTTCAAATAAAAACATAAAATTCAGCAAGCACCGTGGAAACCAACAAATAAGAAATACTAGTACAACGATCAAGCAGGAGATTGTCTTTCTTCGGGTGTCTTTCGGTTTCTGGTCGCCTCTACTTTCCTTTCGTTCGAAATGTACTTTCTGAAGTTGATTATTTATGGCTTTTGTTACCATAAAATTCACGACGAATATAATCGTCATCGGTAAGATAATGAGTGTTAGTACCACAATGATGTCAAAGATAGATTCACTACGCGAACCATTTTTCAGGAAATCCACTCTTGCATCGTTTAGGATGGGTTTTATGAAGGAAAATGGGATTGGCATCAGCCAAGTGATTACTAAAACGGCAGAGACTTTTCGAGGCGTCATTTTGCACTGATAACGAAGTGGTTGAATAACTGCTAAGTATCTGTCATAAGTGATTCCGAGAAGGCTGAGGACAGACGTCAACCAAACGAAGTCCTTTATCGCGTCAAAGAATCTACATGTTTCTTCATCTACGATCTTTTTCAAACTGAAATTCTTGGAGCAGTTTGTGCAGAACGTACAGTGGCCTGGAATCACCAAAATGGAGCCAAGAATATCAGCTAGTCCGAGACTCACCAAGAATATGTTCATATAACATCCTCGTAGCTTAGGATTCGTCAAAAATACGGTACAACAGAAGGTATTTCCGGCGAAAATTGCCAGACCCAAAACAATGTACACGATCAGAAACGCTTCGTCTAAAGCTTCGCTGCAAAAGTACTCAGTGTTGAGTTCAAATTCGTGAATGGAAGAATCGTTTTCTTCTTCTGAAGACATAATTTCCCTCAGCCGAAGAAAAACCAGTGCTCGATGTTGCTTCGCAAAGGAGTTACCTGAGACTTTTATGTCTCAGTTAATTTAAAACTTCGTGTCAAAGATTTGAAAAAAAAATTCAAGAGGAAGGCATGAATATTTTTGCAGGTGGCTCACATAAACGCTAAGAGCGAACTGTTACCAATTCCCAACAGGGAGACAGTAGTTTTTTAATTTATTTACGGTGACGATTGAACAGCAGCCAATGGTATAACTTTCACATATAATTCATTTGCATTCGTTGTTCTGTTGATATTTCTTAAATTTCATGAGAGAGTAATTCTGCATTTCTATGACTCAGGCTTTTTAATTAGTTCTATAAAATCGGGCGCCAATCATTTTGTCCTTTTTTATTAATCCAATCTTTTATCTTAAGAAATCACATTTTTTTTTTAACATCAAAGCGAATTTACGGCGGAAAAAACAACCTGAAACTGAAATGCTTTTTTTCTTCTCAGCTGGTTTCCAATTAAACTGAAAAGTTTATTACCATACGATAAAGCAAGAATAATGGTGAATTTGTCTCTAAACGAGCGAGCAAACAAGTTAAAGATGGAAATTTTTTATCGCTGCAATCGTAATGAGCCCCGGTTTGGTGACGTCTTTTTTTTTTCTCATGATTATTCGCCGCAATGTTCGCATTTCTATCAGTTCAAGATGATAACGTTTTGAAGCCTAGTTGCCTCATTGTTCTCAAATCCAACTCGTCTGAAGGTTTTAACCTCCATTCGAAATTATTTTGAAATTTATATCTTATGCACGCGAAAATAGACTCTTCTAGATTATTTTTGGGACGCTTTTCCGATAAAGGAACATTTAAAGGCCTTTATAAATAGAAATAAAAAGAGAAATGAAATATCTGTTATTAAAACTTGAAATTTTTAATTAATTTTTGTCTATTAATAATTTATAGATTGACACCCCAATCAAACAGCTTCGCGGAGAGCATTCTTTTGATCTTGCGATGTTTTTTTTTTTTTTTATCTACTTTATTCACTAATTGATTAACATTACACATTGATCATGTTATCTTACCTTTGATGGAAAAAATTGATTTGGTTAGGGTAGATTCAAGTAGGAATGAAGTCTGTGATGATCATCTCTTAGCAATTGTGGTAAACGAAAGTTTAGCGTGTCGTAGCATTGATAGTGCTGTTTCATATATTAAGGCTCATTTCTTAAAATATTCTGATTAATTTCAAAACCTCTAACTAATGCTTTGTTTGAAGTGAATCCGTTTAGGAAGACGCGAATGAAATTGAGATAAATAACCCGCCATTCATAAGACACATGCGGTGTCTGGAGGTTTCTCCCCATTGCAGGTTCGCCCACTACAACTGCACCTTTGCGAGTTCGCCTCCTCAAATAAAACGCGTGCGTCCTACTGCTATAAGATCCCCTTAAAATCTTTCATCTCTTCACCTAAGCCAGAA